ATTCTTGGCGCATTACTCTTCATTTACATATGTGTATGTTCTAGCGCTCACAGGGTTGAAATCACTAGCACTATTTTTTTTAATCAAGGGATAGAAAGAGACGGCTCACTGACACTTTGTGCAATTACTTTGTAGCTGTGCAAGGAATGGCATAAAATAGTATCTGTCATGGAAGGGATCACCTAGTGCTAGAGCAATTGCCATTCAAATACTGTATCAGCCAACTAAATGTCAGGATGTCAGCTACTATGCAAGATCTTGACTTGTGGTTATGGCTTATGGTAGTTTTCTTAACCCCTTAATGACCGTGGCCTTTTTTTGGTTTTTGCACCCATGCTATAATCCACATTTTAGGCCTGAAAATTACTTTAAAAACCACAAACATTATATATTTCCTGAAAGCCAAGACCCTGTAGAATAAAATAGTGGCAGTTGCAAATTTCTATGTTGCATGATATTAGTACAACTTATTATCAAACCCAAAAATTTAGTGAAAAATGCACTTATTAATTGCAGTGCCCCAAAACAAAAAATACCATTTTAAAAAATACAAATAAAAAAAGATGGTTACAACCAGTAAGTAGATACCCAACATGCCCAGGTAAAAAATTGTGTGCGTCTTTTGAAACGGCGACAAAAATCAGTAGCCCAAAAAGTCCATAGACGCTTTAAAAGCCCCTACAGGTCATCAGTTTAGAGATGTGCATAAATATTGGCCCTAGAATTCTTGCTCTCACTCTGGCGTGCGTGGCGATACCCAACATGTGTAGCATCGTTTTTATACGTAGGCGCACCTGACGCATGTTTACATTATGACTCGCGGGGGACTTTTAAAACATTTTTTAAAGTTATTTTTACATTCAATTTTTTATTTTTAAAAAGTGTGTGTGTGTGCAGATCGCACTTCAATAGTTTATTGCTGGGCTTCAGGAGCCGAGCAATGACAGCTATGGGACCGGAAGTGATGTAATACGCATGGCTCCCAGTCCCATAGTACGGAGAGGAGATCGTTGTATGGACGCTCGCCTTTCTCCTCCCCAGTGCCCCCCGACAGTCAGCTTCACAATTGTAAACCGAGAGCTGCCGGGACTCTGATTTAAACGGGCCTGCTGCTAGTGACGTACTACGCACGTCACTGGTCGCGATGCGGTTAAAGTGGACCTTTACCCCTTCCACTAAAAATCACATAAGCATGCAGCTCTGCATGCTGATTTGAAATCATCTTACATTCATTACAGTAACTCCACTTTCAAATGAAAACATCTTTAAAAAATGAATTTAGCATAAATAATTGTTACATGAGCCAATTTGTAATTTAATGTTATTAAAAATGACCTTTCCATTTAAAACTGTGATGCTGTAATGTTCTAAAGCTGCCAAAAATTCAATGTAATATGGCAACCTGGGGGTGTTCTGTGCACACTTGGTGTATGGAACTCCCCAGAAATGTAATTTCCTACTGTTGTTGGCTGACAGAAGTCTGCACTAAAGGTGGCCATACACTGTACAGCCATCGCAAGACCTTAGTCTTGCAATAGTTGTAAAAGTAATTAAAAAAACGTACGATCTGCCCATCTTGGACAGGCAGAGCGTACTCTCGATCATCGCAAGCCCGCCCCCCTGAGGGGCGGGCTTCCGATGACCGCAATGCTGAACGGGCGCACTGGCCCGTTCGGCATTTGTCTCCGCAGACAAAAGACGTGCGACCGTACAGTAAAAATGGTTGCACGTCTTCCATACACTTTGCGATTATCGTACGATCGCGGGATTTCCCACGATTATCGTGCGATAATCGCACAGTGTATGGGCACCTTTTTAGATACAAATCTAATTTTTGGCTTCCCTAATTGCAACTTTCCTTATTGTAACCCAGGAAGCCCACCAAGCTGGTTGTAACGAACCCAGACCCTCCCAAGTAGGGTTTAGTTTGCAGAGGACATGCTACACCAAACGGCTTTTTCTTCAAAACAGAAACAAGTAGGAAACTGCAACTAAATTGGTTAAAATCCTTGCAATGTGGATTGATCACCCAACACCCAGAGGGGATTGTTTTCTATACTTGCACAGTTTTTTTTAAAGGAATAAAACATGGAAAAATGTGCATTTATCGCAACTACATACTAAATGTTTTTGCCCTGACAAGCACTTTAAATAAAGGCCAGGTGTTGCGAGGGTTACCATACCTCCAAACCAAATGTTTCACTGCAGAAGTTGTGCTGAGGTACTGAAACTATTGTACATCCGCTTACATGTGTTTTCACTAATGTTCATGTTGTTTGAGAACTGAGTGTAGCCTCAGCAAGGTGCTTTTTGATGTCTTCATCCTCATGTTTACATATGAAAATCTTCACATTATAGAAAACAACATGTTATTGTTGCAAACAAATCATTTGTAAATCATCATTTTCCAGCCAATGTATTATTGTTTGCTGGTAACTTAGTGCAGCCAATATGACTTGTATTCATCTCATCTGGGCAAACAGCAGCCTGTTCAGTGTGATCACCCTTCCCTTATTGCTTGTGTTAGTCTGTTCTACTCCATTGCCCTGCTGTCGTCAATTTGCCATAGGGCATTCTCCCATCTTAAATTTGTTTTCCCTACTCTGCAAAAGTCTAGAAATCGAATGATGTCTATTTGTACTCTGTCTGGAATGATAAACCATGTTTCGTAATTAGCCTACAGCAGTTTTTCCTTTTAATTTTACAGAAACAAAAGTATTTGACATCATACTTGTGACAGTGTCGTCTCCTATTTCTAACGTGTATTGATGAAAACCTGTGCTTTCACCATTGCAACTGTACCCGTTTTTCTTTAGCACATCATATACTGATTAAAGCAAATTTCCAAAAGTTCCCAGTAGTAATGTAGAAGGTTCCTCACTTTCCACCGGTCCTTTTAAATGGCAAATGTCCATCCTGTTGTCCATTGCAGAAATTTCCTATGTAAAAAAAATAAAAAAGCCCTCTAACCTAAATATAACTTAAAGCCCAATTCCTCCCTTCCCAACTCTGGGTACTTGCTTACCTCTCTAATTTACATAGACTTGAATGAGCTCCTACTTCTAATGTGTCTACTGTAGGAATTTGCATTAAGAGCCCATTCACAGCAAATGCAGTGTGTTCCAGAGCGGCAGCTGCTGGAACGCATAGCAATTGTTTACACAACTTCCCCCTTCATTCTAGGGCCGGAGGGGGGCATGGTGGTGCACTG